GCTAAACCAGCCAGTTGCATTTGACTTTGCTTTTGCCTTTTTGCTGGGGGTCTCCATGGGTCTCTACGGGTCTCACACTGCATATTTGTTTTGCCTTTTGTCTGTGGCAAATCTTTAACCATTTTTCTACTTTGGGCGTGTTCGAGTGCCATGCGTTTCGTTTATATTCTGTACTCTATAGGAGAAGCATAGTAGTTTTGATAGAATTTACAAAATATAATAATGAATTTATAAAAAATAAAATGACATTGATTGCAAGTTGATACAGCGCAATTTTGGTGTCTTAAATATTTTTTAAAAATATTATTAGTGAGATTCTAGTTAAGTTTTAATTCATAAAATCAACTAGAACTTTAATTGAATAATTTTTTCTATTTTAAAAATATTTCTACCCACAAAACCCACACAAATAATATTTTTATAATATTTTCTCAACCATTTTTCTTATAATTTTCCTACTTAGAGCATACTTTAAGCTGTGTTTTTATCTCCCAGCAATTTCCCTTCTTAATTTAGTGTCCGTTTTTTTCAATTTAAGAGTCTTGCATATTAGTCAGCGTGCCAGGAGCAGCAGCAGCAACACGAGGCATTGCTGCAACATGGAGCTCCCATGACTCATTTCGCATGATGCGCGAGACATTAAGAGACACGGCCTGGCCAGCACACTCACTTGACTCGAAATATTCTGCATAGGAATAAAGAAATAACTGACAGTGTACACAAGCAGCACTAATTGCTGTAAAATTGCAAAACAGTCCGGAGGACATAGAACAACAGGGTAGAACACAACACAAAAATCACAGCAGCAGCAGCAGCAACAACTGGTCATGTGTTTAAACGAAAAAATAAGAGAAAAAATATCTTAACGGAGAATGAATGCAACAAACGAAACAAGCAACAGCAGCAGCAGCGGCCGCAACATGAAGCTGCAGCAGCAACACAAGCTGCAAACAACTCAATTAACACAAACAAGCGACCACAGAATCGCGCAAAAGTTGTTGCGCCGCCTCGCCCCCATTTCCAGGGACGCCCTTTTCCCTTACCTTTGGGGATTTTCTAGATTTTCCCTGGACAGTTTTTAGGGGCTTAGCTGAGGAAATTTATTTCCTGGGGGTTTGTTTTGGGAGGATTATGAAATTATATATTTAGAAAAAGAAGCTCTTTTGTATTTTTAAATGAATTAAAATTAAATTAAGGAACTTGTGACATTGCTTTGCTGAATTTATTTACTGAAAGTTTTATTTATAAAAATAAAAAAAGGATACTTTATATGCTAAAGGCTTGTTTTAGGAATGCTTAAGGAACCAGGGTCAGACTTAGTTGAAGCAGTGTCATAACCCCATAGTTAATAATTTCAAAATAAATAGCTTCAACAAAAGCTCATCTTATGCCCACATTTCTGATTCTATAATGATTCTATAAAAACCAACCATCATCCTTATCCTTTAAATAAAAGAATATTCCCCATGTCCAATCCCCTATGATTTATGAGATTTATGTGAAAAGCATTGAGTAAATTAGCAAGCTGTCTAATTTGTTGCGTTCACATCGACAGGCACACATTGGGGCAATCAAAGGAGAATGTTCCTTTCTTCGGGATCGGATCACTTTGTGGAGTCGTCACTGCCGGAGCCGCCTTCAAGACTTAGGAGCGGGTGCGGGAGCGGGTTAACTTAAATTGCTAATACCTGACATTGGAATGTTTTTAGCACTTCAGTTGTGTTTGGACAACAGCAACAATGGCAACTGCAACAGCCAACAGCAAGCGGCAATGACTTGGCCAAAAGCCATTGGCAGTTGTGCTAAGCCGCCACAGAAATGCAGATGCGAGTGGCCGCGGAGATGGAGATGGAGGCATTGCACATCCTCCTCTCATGCATTTATGCAGACGGAGCTGCCGCCAGCTTGTCGTCGATTTACCCCCTTTATTTTCTTTTTTTCTTTATTTTTTTCTGCCACCCCGAGATCCTCCTCCTCCTCTGGGCTGCCCCTGATCCCCGCCAGCTGCTTAGCAATGCGCATATATTTGCCAAGTGTTCGAATGGCTTTGATCGACGTGGCTGCCTCGCCGGAGGAAGGTGTCTCTCGGTCAGCCGAAAAAGAATAAGAAATGCCATCATCAGCCAGCAGGTGTTGGCTCTGGCTTTGCACACATATATATAAAAAAAAAAGACAACAAAAAATAAAACCCAAGGCGAAACCAAATCCCAGCCCCCAAAAGCCATCGCCAAATTGATTTGTCAATCGCAGAAACCGCAAACTTGCGCACATTTCGCTGGCATTTGAAAGCCATTTGAATAACATTTCACCCGGCTGAATCTCAAGTTTTTGATATTTCTTTTTTTCTCTCTATTTTCCACAGATTTTTCTTTTTGGGAAAGTATCACATTTGACTAGAAGCTGGAACCGATGCTGGTTGCACTTGCCTGCAGGCCTGCGATTGAAACAATTACAACGGTAGAGTCTTAACCCCGATTGCGTTGAATGTTTGTTTTTTAGTAAATTTAGTAAATATTAAGAAAATATTTTTATATTTTATAATAATTTTTAATATTTTTAAATTAAAAAGAAAGGTAATTAGGGGATTTCTTAGTTTTACTCCTAATTAAAATAAAATAAATATGAAAATGGGATAAGCATTGGCGATCGGTTAATCACCAACTAAAAATGATCTTTTTCTTTTTCCTGTGCAGTGTTAATGCAGCTGCAAGTTGTCATCGTTGTTGTGGCAGTTGCTGCTGCTAGTGATGTTGCTGCTTTTGTTGCTGCTGCTGCTGATGTTGCCGTTGTGGTTGCAAGTTGTCGCCGGTCCCTTCGCCAATTTGTTGCCAATGCGGCGGCTGATGGCTCAAAAGACAGAGAAAGAGAGAGAAAGAGGGGCTTGGCCTGGCCCAGGCCATTCTGGCAACAACAGTTGGCAATGGAAGCGCATAAAAACTAATTGATTGGATGCCAAGATGTTAAGCGCATAACGGCAGCCACGGCAGCAGCAGCAGCAGCAGCAGTTGCAGTTGCAGTTGCAATGTCGTCGCCGTGGCAGCCACTCTCCCCGTCTTTCAGCGACTTTTATTCAATTTAAATGCGCTTGCAGCGCCAATTCCGATCCGATCCTGACTCCATTCGCCCCGCCCTGTGCTTACCATGGCCACTACTCGTAAATTAATTATTTTTTATTAACTTTTCGCTCATTGATGAAATTTTTCAAATATTTCCCCGCATTCCCTCGTTGCAAATTTGTCGCATGCAACTTTTACACTGATCGTTTGGCATTTTATTTATTTTCTTTCTTTTTTTTTTGTTGTAGCAACTTGGATGTGCATAAAGTTTGATGGCAAGTTAATAAAATGATATGACCGGCGGCGGATTTTTGGGATTTTCAAGCAAGTTATAAAGCTCTTAAGAGCTGCAGAACCTTCGATTTCAATCGGTTTTTGTTTAGGGATGATAAATTGTATGGAAAATCTTGAAATTTAATTTAAATTATAATATCATTCAAAGGTTAAAACATATAAAACGAGGTATAAAAATATTTCACTATTTTCTAAATATTATTTTATTATTATTTTTAGAGTTATTATCAATCGTTTTGCTTAAATTATATAAAATAAATTTACTAGAGCTGTTTATCGAAGCAAATATCGATTTATCGATAATATTGCAATTTATTTCTTATCTATTTCGTGTTATAATTATTGTTATAATTATATTTGCATTCAACTAAACTTTATTTATTTATTATTAAATCTTTGAAACATTAGTTTCGTTTTAAAAATTTCAGAAATTTTATTAATTATATTTTAATCGATAAATTATTATATTTTTTTCGATATTTATATCGTTTTGCCTTTGCCATCGCTTATTCCGCTGCTAACGGGAGTGGTTCTGGCCCGGAATATCTCTGCAGTTAATCGCGTCAACTCGTTATCGTGTGACGTTAAAGTTAAATCCACTTCCCTCCCAAAAAACGCAGCCGAGCATTTATCAAAAGTTATTGCAAATTAATTGCAATCTGGCCGGCTCAATCTGCGGCATCATCTCGAGGCGATCTGGCCAAGACCGAATCCGTACCGTCCATGAGTTTCGCTGGCTTTTTGGGCTCTTTTGGCTGCTGCTTACCAAAATTTATTGATGCCTTATTAGCTGATAATCACAAACACACGTCTGGACGCGGACTGCGAATGGACTTGGGAACGGTAAAAAAGTTTTCAACTCGCCTGGCATATTAAAGTGCATTAAGATAATTGAAATGGCCAATAAAAAATATTTTCCCTTTTCCAGGGCCCCAAGTCTCGGTGTCAAGAACTTGTCCAAAGTGTTGAGTATCGCGCTCTGGGCGTTTTCAGTTGCCCAGTTTTGAGGGTTTCTTTTTTATTTTTTGGGGTCTCTGGGATCGCAACTGAGTTATTTGTGGAGAGCTGCTTTTTTTTCTTGGAACCCACTCGCGCTGAAACGTTTTTCAATTTCCACATTTCTCAGGCCGCGAGTTTTGATTTAGTGATTATGTGGGCATTATGTATATGAGTTATTAATAAGCTTTCTGCCGATAAGCCAAGCGGTACTCTGCAGTTCATACAATGGGCGGACGTTCATCCGCGGTATCCAAGTGTTTGCTTAAAATGATTTAAGGCGTTGCCCCGGCGAAATCGGTATAAAGCTGAGCCAATCCAGGACATCTGATAATTGTTTTTTTAACGGCTGTTTTTTTTTAAGACAGCTGAGGGATGGCCAGGTCAGGTTTCCTGTTTTGGAGAAGTTGTGGCTTAGTAATTGCATTGCAACAAAGAATTTTTATTGGCAACTGGAAAATATATATTTTAAAGAACTAAATTAGTTAGCTTAGGTAAGAAATTTAAAGATAAAGAAAATGGAAAATATTTCTTGAAATTCTTTTCCTTACAAAAAATAAAACTAAAATGTTATATAAGGTTTGTTCTGTTGAATTTGCTTGTATAAATAGAGCAAGCAAAACACAGAACTTTAGTTGTAAATAAAGTGTTGACATGAAAGGACATCTAATCTTTGGTATACTTCTCCTCGGAGCTCATTTCGGATTCTGTTCTCCGAATAAACATCCAAGAATTATCAATGGCACCTTGGCTGTGCCCAAGCAATTTCCCTATCAAGTTTTCTACGATGTCCTTGATCTCACCAACCTGCAAAAGCCCATTGAATGGGAATCATCTTGTGGAGGAACTTTGATATCCAAGAGAATAATCCTGACGGCAGCTCATTGTTTAAATGAACCAGATATGTAAGAAAGGTTTAAATTTTATCTAAAATTGTTTATATTTTCTTCTTAAATTTTAGCTACGCCATTAAAATTTACTTTGGGGCTGTGGACAAATCAAACAAAAGCGAAATCGGTCAACACCGTTTGGTGGTCAAAAGACAGAATTTTGTTATTCATCAGGAATATGACACAGTTTACCATTACAATGATATTGCCCTCATAAGACTTCCCGTAGACGTGGCCTTCGATGAGTACATAAAACCAGCCAAGTTGCCCCAACCAGGTGAAGTTTACCCAAGTGAAGCAATTGTCTCTGGTTGGGGACTCGTTGAAGGTAAGCTTGATTTGGAATTTAAAAACACTTCTAACATCTGCAACTAGTTATAGTTAATGGCAACTTTGTTGGAGGGGATAAATTGAAGTACTTCGATATTTCCATTCTGCCACATGATGAATGCAAGGAGTGGTTTAAGCATGCCGTTCCGATACTTTCCTCCTCACAGATTTGTATTGCTCCAAGTGAGAACATGCCATGCAAAGGAGACTCGGGAGGACCTCTAGCTGTCCGGCATGAAGATGACTTTGTAGTACTGGGCATTACGTCTTTGGGCCACACACGTTACTGTACAATCAATCATCCGTCTTTGTATACAAGGGTCGTTTCGTTTTTGAATTGGATCCATGAAAACGCCGGTGCTCACAATCTGGATGTGTGAAATATTTTTTAAATATTTTATTATACCTGAAAACTGATGCAAATTTCCAAATAAATGCCACACAGAAGGCGCATTACCATTTAGAAGACCCTTCCACCTTGACGAGTCCCATAAATTAGCCAATTTCTTTTTCTTCCTCTGGAGAAACGCCGACAGCGTTGGCACCAGGAAGTAAGCGACCTACAAGCGTTTGTTCGGGACTTTCCAGGAATTTTCGAGGCGTAGCAACTGTTTGTGACATGTTTTGATTTGTGTTGTCGACGTTTACGAGCTTGTAACTCTTGCCAGGCCAAAGACTTGGACCTGGACTTGGATTTGGACTTGGACTTGGACCTGGAGCTGGAGCTAGGCCAGAGAGACTGGTCGCCACTCACTCGACACAGAATCAAAGTTGTTATCGATGACATTAATAGCGATTGGGGGGGCTTTCATCAATTACAAGGCTTTGTTGAGAGGACCAGCAAGCATCCACATCCAGCTCGGCCTACGCAGCGAAATTGTAAATTATTACAATGCAAATGATTTCCATATTGTAAATATGATGTGAGTGCTGATAAAGCAGCGGGGCTGGCAAAAGGGAACCGCCTCTGCCTGTTGGCCAAGTTTGTGCAAACAAAAGTTCAACGCATTCAAAGTCAAGGCTTCGAAATGGTCACAGTGGTGAAAGGTTGCTGGAGTTTTGGGTGAAAGAAAAATAATTGGAAAACTAATACAAATTATTTTTGTAAATAATTTTATCTTTTTTATTATTTATTAATATTTTTATTTTATTTTTAATTTGCTAGAAAATCTAGTTTCTTTTTCATGTTTTGCTGACGATCAGTTTTTTGATGAACCCGGACTTGGGAATTTTAAGCAACAATTTTTACATCAAACGAGGGCTTTTTACATATATTTTGTTGTTTATTTTAGGGGATTTTTTATAAAGAAAAAATGTAGTTTTTTTTTAAGTAATGTTCATTCTTTAAAATACAACTACAGACAGTTGTTAATATAATCTATTTTGTTTCCATCATAAAATTTATATTTAAACATTTTAACATTTTCATATTTAAACTATTTTTTCCCTACAAAAACTTTAAATATTATTTGTATTTTAATAATCTGTTTATTTTAAATTATTTGAATAATATTATGTATATTTTAATTCCCCCAAAACTTTCCCTATTTCCAACCAATGTGCAGTTAAAGTAATTTTGCCCAAGTACCGTTTTGGGCTTGTATCTTGGTTTGGCTTTTGGGCTGGGACTCAAGTTCGGAACTGGGTTTTTCTGCGTTTGCATTTCGGCTTTGGGTTTTCGGTTTCCTTTGCCGCCTTGACCACGGCCAAACTACCACCAACGACGTCGCCGGCAATCAAGTCAAGAAACCGCGCCGAACTGTATTAACTCTTGTCTCCGGCCAACTGTTGCCCCATTGCCAAGTTTCCAAGTTTCCAAGTCGCCGAGTCTCCGAGTCTCCGAGTTACCAAGTTGCCGTCTGCCGCTGTCAGTTGGCATCTTCCTGTTTGCTCAAACGTCACGTTCGAGTCACGTTTCCAACTGCCATCAATGGGGTGCCCGGGCACTTAGTCTCGCCCATAGCCACAGTTGATGTTTCCCACAAATTTAAGGCCGCGTCCGCAATTCGCCATTCGTAGTTGTATGGTATATCTGACGGAGAGTCCGCCGTTTGGGTTCTGCTGGGCGCTGGCGTAACGCAACAATTTCGCAATCACCTGACAATGTGACAGGTAATAGTCGTGTCCAGCACACTAGACATTTGCATACTCATAGGCACGGGCACCGCCGAATAGTCAACTGTGAAGTAATTTCGATGCCAGAGTGCCGGATCGCATCGCCCGATGGTCACCTTCGGTCCGTGTCTGGCTCTGGAGCATACTGTGATAAGTAATTGCATTGCGTTCTATGCAGAGAGAGAAACATTTTGAGGGTCTGGAGTAAATAATATTCTTAGTTCTTAAAGTCATTTTTAGCTCTGGGTTTTCTGTTAATTTTTTTATGAAATTGTTACACAAGGTTGGCCAAGTAAGAACTTAATTTTCTGGGCAACAGAGAAGGTTATCTTTAATACAAAGAAATTGTTTGACATTCCACAACAACTTTGTTATTTTTAATTAAAAATAAATGCCCTAATTAACTACAAGATAATACCAATGGAATTATTGCTAATTATAAATGTTATCTTTCAGAAAAGAATTATTTCTTAAAGTTCTTTTACTTTAATAAATTACAAAAACGTTAAATGCTGTATTAGGTTTGTTTTGAAAAATTTTTATATTTAAATAGAGCAAGCAGAACCCGGAACTTTAGTTTTTCATAATCTATTGACATGAGAGGACAACTAATCTTTGGTTTACTTCTCCTCGGAGCTCATTTCGGATTTTCTTTTCTAAATGAACATGGAAGAATTATCAATGGTAACTTGGCTGTGGCCAAGCAATTTCCCTATCAAGTTTATTACGATGTTCTTGATCTCACCAATCTGGAAGAGCCCATTGAATGGCAACCATCTTGTGGAGGAACTTTGATATCCAAGAGAATAATCCTGACGGCAGCTCATTGTTTCAGACACCCAAACATGTAAGAAAGTCTAAAAATGATTAAAATATATGTTTTTAATTTTTAATTTTAACTTTAGCTACGCTATTAAAATATACTTTGGGGCTGTGGACAAATCAAACGCAAGCGAAATCGGTCAACACCGACTGGCGGTCAAAAGAGAGAATGTTGTTGTTCATCAGGAATATGATGATAACGCTTATAACGATATTGCACTTATTAAACTTCCCATAGACGTGGCCTTTGATGAGTACATAAAACCAGCCAAGTTGCCTCAACCTGGTATAAGCTATCCAAGTGAAGCAATTGCCTCTGGTTGGGGAATCAATAAGGGTATGTTTTATTCCTAAAGTTAAAACTTTTCTAACATTTACAAACAGTTTCAGATGATAACAAACCAAGTAGAGACTCGAAATTGAGGTATTTCCAATTTCAAATTTTATCACATGCTGAATGTAAGAAGTGGAAAGTGCAAGATTTCCTTGTATCCTCAAGAATTTGCCTCGCACCATCTCAGAACGCACCGTGCAATGGAGATTCAGGAGGGCCGCTTATTGTTAGCCATAATGGGGACAGTGTCCTGCTTGGTGTAACCTCCTATGGCTATACTGGAAAGTGTACAGATGAATTTCCTGACGTATATACCAGGGTAGCTTCATATCTGGATTGGATTCATGAAAATGCAGGTGCTAACAATTTGGATGAGTAAAGAAATGTTTATCAAAATATCCTTTGAATAAAAATTTTATAATTCAAATTTATCCAAATAAATTATGATACTTTCCCAATATTTCCTCCAAGTGTATGCCAGCATTCGCTTTACACAATTTGGGCCATTGCCAAGCTTAGGCCAGAGAACCGAAGGCGAACCAAAGCGAATCCATTCATGAAACGGGCACCCGCCTAGAAAACCAAACCGACTTGCAGCCATATAAATTGCTGAGATTTCTCTTCCTTTGACTGCCTGCCTGCCTTGTTATTAAAAGTTCAACCCACATGAGAAGCAATTTGCAAACTGTTAGAACGAATAAATAGTTTAGCAGGCAGCGTTGCAAGCAGGGATCTTGGCCATAAGTGGCACTTGGCCAGGAATTTGATAAGCCCAAAAGAGAGAAAGAAATGCATTTGCACCTGAAGACGAATCAGGTCAGCCTTTTTGGAAAACAATACCGAAAGTGATTCCTCTGGGCTCAGGAAAAACACTTTGCCCTGTCATTTGGCTTTCTTTTTTCTTTCTCTTAACCTTTTTTTTTCATCTGCAGGCTTTCTCTGAAGTAGAAAAAGAGGTGCACTTTCGACCAGATTTATTCCAATGCCAAGCCTTTTTTTCTTTAGCTTTGACTCTTCTGCCTTTGACTCTTGGCTTGGTTTGCTCTTGGCTGATTATTCCACTGATTAAGTTTATGATTCATAAGCCAGAAATTTCAATTCAAATGTACATACGTAGGGGGAGAAGGAATAGAGATTTTAAATAAATTACAAGCCCCATGTTGTAGGCTAATTGTATGCAGAAAGACACCTGTGGGTTGTGAATGCACCTGGGAAAATAAGCCTTAAATAGAAATAAATTTAACAGGAAATTATAAGCCTTAAAATATAAGTTTAATTGCTTTAAAGAAATATAGAAAATATATAAGAAACTTCTTTTCTTAGCTAAAAGATATCTTTTTTCTCTAGGTGCCTAGTTTGGGCTGGGTTCTCCGGATTGCTTAAGCGACAGTTGCAATTTGCAATCCGCTTGTAAGATGCTTTCGCCAATCTTTTAATAAGAATCAAACACTAGACGAGAGAGAATTCAAAACCATTTCTCGTATATGAGCAGTCCCCAAACTTATCGCTGATCGCGCCGGTAGGTAGGCAGGCAGGCCGGTCGGCTAGCTGGGTTACCATGGAGAGATGGAGATTCGAGGCCTCAACAGCAGCATCAGGCTGGTGGGCAGTACACCAGAACCTCGAAACTCCAACTACAAATCCAGGTCCTAGTCAGGCCAGATAGTCGAGCTCCCTGGCTCATTACAGTTGGCCTGGTCAGCGCGGCTTGGGTATGCCAATCATGCGTTTGGACCTAACTGCAATCCAGATTTAGTCTGTACTGAGAGAAATTTTCAAGGGAAGTTTAGAGGAAAATAGTGTGCATTATATAGAATTTTTTCAGATTTTTCTTTACAAGTTTAAGGGTAGTAAATTCTAAAGAAGTAACCTTCTCTTGACTTTTATAACTTTAAATCAAACTCTTTCTCTATTTCAACTTTTGAGACTAATTAGGGTATTTTTCTATTTTTTTCAGTGTCTTTAACCCCCACCTTCCTCTCCCAAACTTGTCCCAAACAGAAGTTCTTGTCGCTTGTTCCTGTTAGCTGCTTGTTCGGCGTGGCCATTGAATATTTCAAATCGCAATCAGTTGGCAGGCATCGCGCTACCCCCTTGCCCCGTTTCCAATCCCTGGAATCCCTGGGTTTCCTGGCTACCGGCGGGTGTACTCACCGCATTAGTTTCAATGCGCTTTAATTTATTAAAATATCAAATTTAAGTACATGCTCTGCGGCGGCTAGAACGAACGAACAGCAGCTCCGAGGTAGCCAATATTTGTGGCAGCTGCAATCGAGATTTGCGGGTGATTAGTGGCGGCTGAAATCGGAGAACCTTTTGGGGTCCGCACTTCCACAAGAAGCCAGTGATAGATGATGGTTTCTCCTTGTGGGGGGCCAAAAGAAATGGAAATTGAATTCGGAGTTGACTGGGAAATATTTTAAGCAGAAATCGGGGAAGTCTAAATTAATAAAGGAATTATCTGATTAAGGGTTTTTGGTAAAACATTATTTGTATTTTATATTTTTATGAATTTTCTATCCTATTTAAGGCTCAAGGCATTGAAGTAAAGCATGACCCATATTTCCTCTTGATTTATTTCCCTGCCCCAAGTACTTGTATTAATTAAACCCTAAGAAATACCTTAAAAGAAAAGAATATATGACCAACACAAAGGAAACATAAATTTTCCATCAAGACACTTTCCTGGCTGACTTGTCCCGGAATTATGCGATATTCAGCCCAGTCCCGATCCCAAACCAGAACGAGAACCGTTAGCATTTGGCTTTTGATGTTCGGCGCACAGAAACATTAACATAAATATGAGCGCGAGATAAGTGAGGAACACACCCAGTGTACAGAGTGTGTATAGAGTGTGTGTGTGTGTGTGTACACACTGATGAGGAATGAAAATTTGCCAAAGGAGCTGGCAGAAGTAGGAGGCGCCCCAGCTTGAGCCCGAGCCAAGCTGCAACTTGCCTCATTGACATGCGTTAGACACACGACTGTGCCAAAGCAAGAGCAACTCCCAAGACCAACTAGCTGTAGTAGGTGCACTGGGAAAAATATATTTTAAAAATTATATTTGAAATTAAAGGGATTTTTACTAAGGTTTAGAAAGAAAGCTTAACAGTTTATACATAAAACAAGACAAGTAAATACCTTTATAGTCTTGTTTTATGTGTAAATTCTTAAACTAACTTCTTTAACCTTAGTACAATTTATTTAATATTTTTAATCAAATAAACAAAAGGTTTTTTCATCAAGAAAGTATATATATAATTTTTAATTTGAAATATGCAAATATTAAACTAATTTTTAAGATTTAATTCATGAAATTATCTATACAATTTCCTCTTTATATTTAATCTTCTTTTGGTTCTGTGCCTCAGCAAATCCATAGAGGAAGGGGTATTCTTTTTGGGCGTGATAGCATGGTGTGGGCGTGGCATTAGCATCTGGCGAGAAAATCTGAATAGATGATCGTAAACAGAATTTTGGTTTAGCGGTCAGAATGCAAGTTTGGTGCTAACAAAGCCCAAAGCCCAAAGAATCAACTGATTGTTCAAGGGGAGTGGCCGCTATAAATGCAGGCAACACTTTTGACACCGAGAGGCAACATGTGGCAAATATAAAAATAAGTTAGAAAAACAAATATTAAATTGAGAAAAAATTTATAGTGATTTTGTAATTATAGTACAAATAAACAGAGTATATATTGGTACAGAGAAATAATAGAAACATGATATAAGGATGTTTAAATCATGTTTTGATTGCCATGTTTATAACACAAAAGGAATCTAAAACACATAAGAACACCCCTTAAGCCTCTCCTTTCATTCGATTTTTTCAAGTTATTCCCTGTATTCTTAATCATTATCTCAATTGATCTCTGCTTTAGAAAGTAAGCATATTTTTGTTTAAATCTGTGTAAAAAATATTATTTTAATGTTCCTGCTAAGACTGACAATCTAGCCAGGTTACAACTAGCCCTGAGCCCTGAGACTAAGCCAAAAAACCCAGCGATTTCAAGGTGTGGAGATTGTGGCTTGTGACTGAGACCAGATTTCCCTCTCTTCGGTTTTTTTTTTGGGCAATCAAATGGAGCCTCCTTGATGGCCGACTGCGCCTCGAGATGATGATGTTGCTGATGAGCTCTACGACAATGGGAATGCCTCGTTGTTGTTGTTGCTCTCAGTGCAGCAAAGTTGCTCTGTGGCTGTTGCTGTTGCAAAGTTGCTCTGTTGCTCTGTTGCTCAGTTACTTTTGGCCGTGGCCGATGTTGATGGGCCAATGTTTCGGTCAGTTGCCGTGGCGAATCGCAGTGCAATGCGCAACACGTTAAGGGTTGCCCACCTCCTCCTTCTCTGCCAAGCGCGCAATTTATAAAATGTCTTAATTTTTGCGTTGCCATTCCCAGGCAGGAGCAACACCAGCCACAACACCGGCAATATTCTGGCTAAAAGCGCCGCAGGAAAGCAGAAAAGCCGGCGTTGTCCGGCTTAAGCATCGGCTCTAGAGATGAGTGCTGACTTGGTACATTTTCTGGGCAGGCCAAACACTTGAATTTGTTTATTTTCATTGCCAAATTGCATGGGGATCGTGACACGACACGGGCGGGGCTCCTCCCTGGCACGAGCTTGAAGCCAGAGCCAGTTGGCTAAAATGACTGACGCTTGATGGCTGTCAGTTCGTCGGACAACTTGCTGTTGCTGTCGTCGTCATCAATTTTTTTGTTGTTTTGTTGTTGGTTTTTTTTAGAGCTCTCGCTGGCGATAAATTGCATTTTAAGCGTATTCCCTGGCATTATTATGACTTTATAAACTCTGCGGGCTTTATGCCCTCGCACAATATGCACTTTGCATTTGTTGTAGCTCTGATGCAACGCCTTTTTGCTCCGAAAGGAAACCTTGGCGTGGCCCAGCGAGAGGTGTGAGCTATTTTTATATATATTTTGATTGGCAATGATGAAATGCACCATGCACTTGAGGAGGAGGAGTCTCCAGTAGAGGAGTCTCTGGTCGAGAGGCTCCCTTTTGTTGGCCACTTCTCCGCTCTTAACAAGATAATTGCTTAATTTGATTAGCAATTGTTGCCGTTGTTAGCCAAGTTTGCTGCCGGTGTAGCGGCTTCGTCTGCTGCTGCTGCTGGCGGGGCGTGCAAATTGCTAACAATTTTGATATTTAAATTATTGAGCCTGTGTAGCAACAACAACAACATGACAGCTCAATAAACATTCCATCAAGAATGGAGTGTAAAAATCCAATTTTCATAAGTGGCCCAGGCAATGAGCCAGGGGAGACCGGAGAGCGACTACTGTCCTTAGCTCGTCCTTGCATAAATTAGCAGCTGCAGCTGCAATCGCGAAGTCCATCAGCGACGGCCTAATTATGAAATGTATTTTTTATAAGTGAACCTAATTTGTCAATTAACCGGAATGCTTTGCAGGTAGAAAATTATTTACAGAGGGTAAAGTGAGTG